CAAATCCACTGGTCTCGCATAAAGTTGGCAGAGAAGCGTCCCCAGTCCTGTAGCAGATCTTGAACTTCCAGATCACTACCAAAAGAAGAAACAGGCCCATCGCTCATTACGGCAGCCGAGAACTTATATTCATCTGAATTAAAGTCTTTAGTTAGTTACTTTAGTTAAAAAAAAATAAAAAAAACGGCTTCCACTAACCAGTCTATTGTCTCTGGTTTCAGTAGACGTTGATTGACATTTCCTAGAGATGTCTGACTGTGTGAGGAAGGCAGCTTTGGGCTGTAGAAGTATTCATTCAGTGATTTCAGAGCAGAAACTGTCTCTGGTTGCTTGTCAATCACTTCATGCTCCATAACACCACACACCGTGGCCAGCGACGCCATAGTAACTGCTCTAGTTACCTGGTATGCTAAAGAGGGGACCTGGCAACAACAATCAGTGAAACAATCAAAATAGTGACTGAAATCCTGCCTAATGAGAGAGACATTAAAGTTTAAGTTGGTACCTGCTGGTCTGGTTCTCGCAGGACTGTGAGCCCGTACTTAATCAGTTTAGAGAAACCACTGTGAGGAATCTTGTTGTGGTATTGTGGCATAGAGCGACACATGACAACCAGCTGCCTCAGGACATAAAGATAGAGCTCTGCTCGCTCGATATCAAACACCTGTTAAAAAAAAACAGACAACATACGTGCAGACGTCAGAGTTGGCTACCAGGGGCATCTGTGTAATTGGACTGAGACTGGCCTGCTTGACTTGCTAAATACCTCCTGCAATTCCCCACACAGCCGCCTAAAGATGAACTCCTGGATGGGATCAAGAAGCCTTAAAATCGCCATCTCAGTAGATACCATCACACTGTCCCCTGTGAAACAGAGAGAAAGGTGGAATGTAATGAACATGACGGCGACGGTTCTGGACAAAATAATCAAAAAATAAAGGGATAAAATCAAACTATAAATCAATATAAATGTCCAGTGTTTCCTAATAAAGAGGTAGCAGAAGTACTGGGAAAAACAGCTTAATAATCAAAGGCAGTGATATCAAACTCATTTCCCATCGCACGCCACATACAGCCCACTTTAATCTGATATCATAAATGTCACCAATAGATGAAAGAAAAAGATAAAATATGCAGATCTCTCACCATCAAATACGGATGTAAAAGTGACATTTACAAGGACGTATGTTATACAATATAACACCAAATAATAATTTGGGAGGACAGGTTTAATGATTTGTTCAGTGAATAAAAAAATCAGATAGAACAGCTCGGACAATAATTCAGCGCTATCCTTGCAAACCTTGCTCCGCTCCGTCCTGTTGACTCCTTGGGATTTCTCCGAGCTGGAACAGTCTGAGCACCAGCTGCAGGCTCTTGTCACTCTTACGCAGAGGCAAGTAGATATTGGTGCTGACTCTGCTCAGGGTCTCCAGCAGTGGTGATAAAAGCGACTCCAGGGTGTTGCTGATCTCTGCCCCAGATTGACCCCTCTCCATGTCCACACACAGCAGAATAGCTCTGGCCAACCTATCGGCCTCTCTGGAGTCAGGTAACCTCTCGGTCTGACCTGGGAGAAGATAAAAAGCCTTAAAATATACACACACCAAACCAGCAGATACAGTGACTGTATCACTTCAGACTCACCTGTGCTAGCTGGGACTCGAAGATAGGAGACTATTTCGCCTTGAACATAAGCTCTTACGGTTTCCTTACTCGTTAAAGCACCAGTGCAATCTTCATCTGTAATCCTGGGCTTGAAACTGCCTTCATTTTCCAACAGCCAAGCACACAGCTGCAGTGATGCCCCAACATGTAGGATAATGATTAGGTAATCACAGTTTGCAATCTGAATCATGTTCCATTGTTGATACAGCGTACCTGCTTCCAAAGCTGCGTCCCTCTACACAGCGACTCGTCTGCACGGAAATGCGTCAGGAAGCTAAAAACATCATCGAGGGTAACTTCACTCTGACAAAAAAAACAAAACACAAAAGCTCAGCTATTGGACTGAATAACTTAAGCTATAGTCTTACAGAAAATCTAGTAGAAGAGATCGATAAAAAGAGTAAATTAAAGTAAACACATCCATGTGATGCTGTCATGGCAATATAGACCAAAATATCAGATTTTTTGGTCGTAGAACAACAAAAGCTTGATCAACTCAGTACTTGGAAGATGTGCTTAATAAAGAGTCCAGTATTTTGCGTCGCACTTCTGTCTTACCACAACTGTGAGAGAGAGGGCACTGTTCAGCAGGAAGCACTGGGCAGCTCCTCTTAAGAGGACTTGATGAGTGATCATGGTGCAGCGCAGGACGTCCCTGTACAGACAAAAGACACACAATGACCACTTTATTAAGTGTCACCAGCTTCGACAGAGTATGTCTAAGTGTAACCACTGTAAGTTACCTCAGAGCAGTGAGCCCGCTGGTCCCCAGTAGTGGACAAGGGGGAAGTTTGGACAGGGCCTGACAGAGGAAGAGGAGGGGAACTGCACACCAGTGTTTAGAGCCCAGCTGCTGAATCAGCTGAAGCAAGACATAACCTACAATGTGAACACAGTAGTCAGAGGTGGATTTAGCAATTTAACCATGAGCTGTGAGAGGACTTTGTTCATAAGTGTTCGCTGTGGCTTCTGTGACCCTTTACCTCTATGCTCTGTTGGCAGGCTACTGAAGAAGGTAGCCAGAAAGACTTCGAGTTTAACCCCCAGTTCGGGACAGTCTCCCACACTCTGACCAACTGACCTATATGTGGAAAGAAGCTGGGTTAATTAAGGCTAGTGCAAAGCAGTACTTAACATAATAATCCCTGCATTACTATTACTTCCAATTGTTAATGAATGTTAAATTCTCACCTGTGGAAGAGGGATGTTTCCGAGAGAACATCCATAAAGGGGCCAACGATGAACTTAAGAGCAAAGCAACAGAAGAGGAAACTTTAATGCATGCTTTTAACTTTGTACTGAATGAAAACAATCAAGAGCCAAGGAACAAATTAAGTCTACCTGAGAAAAGGCCAAAGCAAAAGTCGGCTGCTGAAGAACCCGGAGCTCGAGCAGATGACACACTCCTTCTCGCATTAAGGATTTATTCTCACTGTGGAACATGCGCTGGTACACACACAGCAGCCAGGAGGGGTGGAAGAGTCCTTGACCTGAAACATTAGAAACAAACTACCACTCTGAGATCTTTCACACTTACTTTACAGTTACTTTACTTTTCAAAGAATTTAAGTGAGAAAAAACTGACCAAGGGATTTTCTACTTGACTTATGTACTTCTGAAAGAAGATATAATCAGTTCAGCCCATTTCATTCACAGAGGCCTAATAAGCTGGAAGACTCGCTACATCGAATCTACTTTTAAAAGGCTGAAATAATGTTTTTTCCTTGCCTTGATCATCATTCGCTGTTGTTTGGATCAGTGTGTCTATCCTGTTTAAAACTGGCCGGACCACGTGAATCTGCAGAGGGAGAGGAGGAACAGTAAAACAGATGTATCGAGATCCCTCCTTGGAAAAAGCAGTCAAACACTGGTGCAGGATATCCTACTTGGTTTTCCTCTAGAGTCTCCATCACCAGTACGTAATCCTCCCAGAACTCTCTGAGCAGCTTGCTCTTGCTGAAAGCCCATTTAAACAAGTTCTCATCTGCAACAGTTTAGGAAAAAAAGTTGTCTGACAAGCCATAAAATAACAGTAAACCTAAAACTGGCCTAATGTCTGCTTTCAGTGTGTGCGTGTTTTTTTTTTTTTTATACCTTCCCCTGTTGCAGAAAGAGGACAGTCTAATCCATCCTCTTCAGACAGGGCTGCACACCTTTTCAGCAGGAACAGTGCTCTCTTTCTTGACACGCTGTCTCTGTGGATCAGTCCATCCTGAACCATCCTCCAGAACTGAAGGGACAGACGAGGGTCGGAGTCAGAGCAGCAGGAAGAGGGGAGGTGGTGGTGAGGTTTAAGGAGGTGGTCTGACAGGGCTGTCAAACACAGCAGAGTGCGCTCTGTAACCGCAGGAGTGCGGTCGGTGGAGTGCCAGCTGCATAGATCATCCAGGATGAGCTTGAGGATGCTTATTAACCGCTCACTGCTGAGGCAGTTCAGCAGACTTAAGATGACCCTGACTGGCTTGGAGACCAGTGCATCAGGGAGTGTCCTGATGGAAGAGAGACTAGAAGACACGGTGGTATGTGTGAGCTGTTCATCTGCTGCCAGAAACGGCAGAAGAGCAGCTACCACTTCACTCGCAACCTCCACACTGAGTCTTCCCGGAGAGGTCAGCTCTTCCTCTGACAGATGGAGTGAGGGCAGGATGGACTGACAAACTCGCCTGCACACAGCCTCGTTACAGAGAGGTACACTCACACTCAGTAGTCTGCACGCAGCTGCTGTGCTCTCCCTGCACCGCACACCTTCACCTGCTTCAGCCGAAATTCTGGAGAGGAAAGGCAGACACTTGGTCCAAAGGACCGACTCAACTTTATCTAAAACACAGCGTCTCTTTGCATCTGGAAACGAGGTCGAGTCCGGCTCGATCAAAAGCGGTCCGAGTCCCTCAATGAAAGCTGTCAGCGCCTCCACCCGCTCCGTGTCTGGCCACGACTCACTCGGCCAGGAAAGAGACTCAAAAAGAAGGTCGTAGTCAGGCGAGCTGGATAACACTGCGTTAATTAAAGCGGAATACATTGCGAGCGTCTGTTAAATTGCTAGGTATGAGCATAGCAAGCGAGCTGCTACCGGCTGCTACCCAGTAGCAGCACGTTTTGATAAAACAGAACGTAAACTTCCGTAAACGTAATTCCCAACTCTCGCGAGAAATGTGAGGCAGAAAAGAATTAACGCTGAAAAAAAAAAAATGCAAACTGCTCAAATTTAAATAGAAAATTAATAGTATATCGGTGACACAGTACAAAGACATTTTGGTTTATTTTAAGAGCGTAAAGAATTTATTTTCCCCATTATAAAAGAAAAAAAAAATAGTGCTTTCAAAAATATGACATTTACTTTATACTTGTTCGTTTTACTGGCATTTAGTCAAAGTTTGTGTTTAATGACTGGGAACCTCATACAGGCTAAATACAGCAGTTCATTTGAACACAATAACAAAAAGGAAAAAAGAAAAGAGAAACAAATGCTCTTTGTTTGTGGGTTACATAATACAAAAATACTGTAGCTTCATTATACATTTATTGACAACAGTGGTTCACAAATAAAAATTTTCTATAGTAATCATCACAACAGAAGGCAAACAGATTTGGAAAGCTTTGGCTGAATACACTGAGCTGTGTAAAGAAGTTCAATTTTCCACATCAGTAGTTACAAAGCTGTAAAAGACATGGGAGTGCACACTATACAAAAGTGTGTGTTAAAGTAATAAAAAAATGAACAAGATAAAACAAATCAACAGAGCTCAAACATGGCTATAGATAAAATGAGTAAATTTACATACAGAGAGGAATGCAAATTATGTCTTATGGCTGTCTGATGCATAAAACAACTGCATGGCTGTAAAATTTCACCATCAAAATTTTATGCCCCTGATATAAACAGATTCTGCCACTTCAGGAAATGTTTAAACAGTGTGAAATTTACAAAAGACAAACCTGATTAGGCATTTTTCAGTTTAGAAAAGCTGAAATGTAATAAAAAAGTGCAAGTAATATATATACAAAATATACAACATTAATAAATATGAACTGCTTACTACATGAAATGGTGCTGAAGTAATCCACAGCTTTTAAAAGAAGGCTAATGTGTCTGCTGTTTGAAGTATACACATCCATCTTTACAGAAAAAACACATGCTGGCAACCTGTGAATTAAGTTGCATTGTACAGAAAGGAGGAGGACAGGTATACTTGTCAGCACTTGATGTGTTCAAAATATGTATTCCATGAACTGTTCATCGCCCAACATGTCCAGGGAGAGGCAGTTGGTGGACCTGCGGCCATAGAAGATAGGATTAGGCTGGCAGTGCAAGAAGGGGTAATAGCTGTGATCAACCGTGGTCTTTGTGTTTGCTGAGGCATCTGGTAGTCCAAAGGTGTAGCTGTGAGAAGAATCAAGTGGCACTGCCATCCCCAGGGGTGCAGGAGGAGGGACGAGGCGGACATCATCTAGGCTGTGGCTGTGCCGATCCACACAAACTTGCGCTTTTGATTTCAGAACCTGAAAGAGAGTTAAGAACAAAAAGTAAGCCAATGCATGAAAGAGGCCAAGGCAACCAACCAAGGAAAGAAAATATGACCTACCTCTTTTAACATATCCTTGTTATACAATTTCCCAGCATCTTTGTCACTGTGTAGAGCACAGCCTGTGTTTTCTGTGAAACACACAGCATATGATTTAAAAACTTAGCAAACAGCATGTGAGCGGAAACAAACAAACAAAAAACCCAACTGTTTGCAGGGTTTAAAATATTTATACCTGGTGAATGATTCTTTGAACAGAGTTCTCCACAATCCACTGAAACTCCTTCCAGAAGATCAGCCAGCTGGAACATCTCATCAGGATCATCTACAAGAACCTCGTCTGGACTTTGGACCCTGGTCTTGATCTCTGGACAAAAGAAAATGAGCAGGGACAAAAAAAACAAACAAACAAAAAATTAAAAACGTTTTAGAAATTTCATAAAGGGGTGCCCATATAACTCACTGGAATATTGCCTGGGTTTGAATCTGACCCAGGTCTTTCAATGTGCATCATCTCCCCATTGTCTGACAGCTTTCCTGTACTCTCAACTGTCCTGTCCTCATAAAGGCCAAAAAGTACAGTGCTTAATTTTATGAGACCACCACCAAATGAAAGGTTTATACCACAGTTACCCTAAATTAACATTAATGTTTATTACCAAAATAAGTTCTCATCTTTCTGTAATGGTTAATCCACCAATGTGCACAAGCTCTTTAACTGAAATGACATTTTTAATGCTAAAATATTTCATTATCGTTATCCATGAATTTTCAAATTTATCCCTTCCCCCCAAAGCAGAAAAACAAAACAAAAGACAGTAAAGTACAATATATATTTTTTCATTCAGATGGTAATGCAATGCTAACATGTTTACTTGCATTACTGAAAAGGAAAATAGTTTTGTTTAATGTGTTGCCCAGACTTAAAGGAAATTTCATAAAAAAAATAAAATAAAAAAGGAAGAAAAAAACCCCTGGAAGAAGCAAAGACCCAATATTAGATAAGACATTGTAATGCTTATTAAAACACAAATAAAGCACAAGTTTTGAAATGACAATACCATATTGTTTACTGAGCAATATGTTTTGCATAGCCAACAGCCTAAGAATGTGCTGTTCAATTATCACAGTACTAGCAGCCACATTTCTCTTAGCACCATTGAAAGGCCTGACCAGATGGAAAAGAGACATCAATGATGCAAAACACATGCTTAGCCAGTTTTATGTATGCAAAGTCAACATTTAAATTTCACATTCTGTAGTCCTGTGATCCCACTACCAGCATGCATCTTTGAATGAAACACTGAGAATTGCACCATACTTAACAATGCTGCTAGATCAGGCTAGCAGACTGGAAGCATTAGTTTAATTTAGAAATATCTGCAGAGGGATGAACAGATCCTGTTTAAAGGTTTCATTTAAGAATGGCCTCACCTTCCTCTTGCCACCCTTCATCTTCTATTCGTGCTTTGCTGCTTGTATCAAATCCTGAGGTACAGGAGCTGCCTCGGCTGGCTGCTGAGCTGAAACACTTCTCAGCTTGCTGATGACCTTCGTCCCCCATGGAGACCATCTCTGCGCAGATGCTGTGTTGGCGAGCGTCCGCCTCAATTCCAGAGCTGCTAGTAGAGTGTCGGGAGAGACCGGGACTGCCTTCACTGCCTTGTGGATCTAAATCCAGATCATCACTGATGTAGGACTCCCTGTAATGCTGCTTCTCTAAAAATGAAAAAATAAACAAGTTTCAGTGGGGTTTTTTTTTTTTTTTTAAAACAAACAAACATCTAAACCATCTTGTTTTCAGAAATTGATATAAGTACTAAAAACCTAAGTACTAATTATTACTGTTCTATATATTATATTACTAGTACCGTAGTAGAAGCCAATAGTGACTTTATAGAAAGTTTTTGTCAGTACACACCAAACTTCAGCTATAAAATCAGAAATATAGTTATATCTAAAATACTTAAGACCCATTTAAGGAATCACAAAAATGCAAAAATGTTTTCTAGTGAAATTGTTACAAATGTGATTACAGAACAGTTTTGTTCTTGGAACAAAGTTTAAATTTACTAACTAACGTCCAGAAGCTACTATGACTACAAAGAGCCACCAGCCAAACTGTGCTCTGTTACTTTTTTCTTATCCTTTGACATGCTTTCCCCTCTCCTACCCTTGCTCTCCTCCAGCTGGTGTAGGTGTTTGAGGACAGGTTGAAGGCTGAGGTAGAGCTGATGGCTGTTGCTCAGGTGCAAGAGGAGGTGGCGAGAGCGGAAAGATGAACCAGTGTAGTAAACCAGCTTCCTGGCGGATGGCAAGCCATCTGGCTGGATCTCGAATTTCTTACCCTGAATGATATTAACACATTATACAAAGTGTAAAAAGCTAGCGCCCATTAAATAATTACCAGAATTCTACTTCTTAACAGAGAAAAATCAGCTGTATGTGCTTACCAGGAAGGTAAGACGTCCTACATTTGACCAGGGAAAGTCATATATTAGCTCAAGTATGTTGTTCACCTCCTGAGAATACATAAACACACATACACACTTCATTTACAAAACAAAAAACCCCAAAAGATTTGTGATTGTATAATCTACTTTGATGCTTTTAAAATTACAGATCAATAATCAACTGTCTTTTGGAGCCATCTGGACTCAAAAGAGGCCAAAGGCTTCTTGAGGTATGCCACGGTCTGTTGGCTTTGAAATCAGCCAGGCCTGGAGTGCTAATCCCCCCCAGATGGTCCCTGACAGACAGATCAAAGAAATGACAGTCATGGCAGGCAGCTCCTATCTCCTGATGGACTGCTGGTGGTGGCAATCCCCCCCACATTCCTCACACATCTAGTCAGAGGTTTTATAAGACTACAGATACAAAAGAGCGATTCCCTGAGCGAATTAAAATGACTTTTCGCTTACATACTGTGCACTAATAATACGCTCACACATGCACACACCTGATAAACTTGCATTCCTCGCAGGGTCAGACCAAGCAATGCCGTTCCCCTCTCCTCCCTCTTATCCTGAAAAAACAAATGATGAGCTGTCAGAGAGGCAGTGTGTCCCAGATAACACAGCTATTTCACTGTTACGCCCTGCTCATAGTTGGCTAGAAAATATGAGTTGTTATTAGCAACAAATTGGAAGCAATAGCAGATTACGTAATGGATGGGCCAGGATTCAAAGTTTCACTCAGTGGATCTATCTATCTATCTATGGTTATATAAGTGCACTATAGCTGTATGTCCAGAAATCAAATGAAGCGAAACAAAATGTGCTGGTGTTGCATTAGTTGGGGTATTTGGGTCAGAGGGAATACATATATGTGGAATAAATTCAAAATGAGCTTTGCATATGAAAGTGAGATGATTAGATTGACTCATAACCTTTTGCAATCTATAAAACGTGACAGGTACATCCTCCAATTGGCATGCCTCTTTGATGAAGTGGAACATTGCATCACGAGTAGACATGCCCCACAGCTCCTGGTGTACCTTTGGCCCATGGCAGTGGAGATATTTCACTCCACGTTTAGCTATAATCTGAAAAAGGGGGAAAAGAAAGAGAAACATTGGCCTCAGAGAGATGAAAAGGTAAAAAACATTTCCTCATATTTCTGCTATGTGGTGATACCTACCCATGGGGGAAAGTACTCCTTGGGTTCAAAATAACGGGAAAGCTTTACGCCTTCCTCCAGCACTGGGTGGTCGCCAAGGTCAGCCTGCAGGGCGTAACCCGCCAGCTGGAAGTAGACCTCCTCCTGCTGACGACATTCAGAGCGTAGCACTCGCTCCCGCAAGTCAGAATAGTAAAGATGCCGTGCCTTTCGCTCACTGGGGGGGGGGAAAAAAAAAAAAACAAAAAAAAAACAAAAAAAACAAAAAAAAAAACAAAAAAAAACACACGCACCCAAAAACAAAAGGGAAAGGCAAAGTTGAGAGAAAGTAGGACAATGTTTAATGGGGAGAAATAAAGCAAAACAGAAGCATCCAAGAATTAAAAAGATGCATGTAGAATGTAAACAGGAAGACTTACCAAAAAAGTCTACCATTCTCTATGTAGTACTGCACTTTAAGGCACAGAATCAGAGGCAATGATCTCTTTTGCAATCCCTGTAAAAAGAAATATGTTGCAGTAGAGTTGTGTTTTGCTGACTTCACTTCAAATAAAAAGCTGTACCATACAGGCTTTTAAATGCCCAATTAAATGGTGTAGAGAGTGCATCAATCCCATAAACTACAATACCTTTCCTAAATCTTGGTTCCATTCCTTAGAAAAGTACTTATTGAGCTTCTCCTCCAGGTCTAAAAATATGTGCTCATTGTCTGGTATGGAAAAAAAGACAATCGGGAAACAAGGAGACAGTTAGTAACCAAACAAAACAGTAATGTAGCCAAGCGTAAAATTTACTCAACAATGGGATTCATTAGGGTGTGAGGAAAAGGCTTTTGTTCTTCTACTTTTCAATGGGGCTACAAGAAAAAAAAAAAAAAAAAAAAAAAAAAAAAAAAAAAACACCAATGCCAACATTAATGTATCCATTTTCCAACTCCAGCATCAGCAAAGCAGCACAGACCAACCACTGCTGGTAAGAGCTGTGGGATTCTTTTAAGATTGTGCAGACACTTGAAGAGACAGGTAGATGCCTTCAACAAACAGATTATATCTATATACACTGCTTTGGGTCTATCCTGCAAGCTCCCTGAATATAAGGCTGTGTTAATCACCAATTCATCATTGGGCCAAAAACCTGTTGCAACCCTTTTCCAAGCACAAAGATGTCGTATTAATCTCCGTGTGGTTCTATGAGTCATACCACAGGCATTTTCAATTTGACCCAACTTATCTCTTCAGTTCACCCTTGTGTAGCCAAATCATGCCATTTCACAATTTTTTCCTTAAACCACTCATCTCATTCCCACTCTGACTCACTCTCTCTCCTTTTTACCCTTTGTTTAGGCCTTTGAGTAAAAATTGAGTAATAGTCTCCCCCTACCTTTTATTCCTCCATTCCTACCCTCCTCTTCCCATCATCAATCCATCCCTCCACAGTGAAGCGGAGGAATGCAATTGTGCATTCCAGGCTTAATGAAGTTAATATTGCAGGAATCCAGGACTAAGTGATCGCTGACCCAACACCACAAAAACAAAAGGCTGCTTGTGGTGAGCCACACAAGATTACCAAAGCATTTCAATCTATTTGTACAACAGAAACGCTGGAAAACAGAAAGTTTAGAACTTTGTTCAGCAGCTAAAGTGGATTACACCATTCAATTATGCAGACTGGGAGGGCAAAATTATTATTATTTTTTAAATTTCAGTGAAATGGCTTCCTGGTAGAAGTGTTTCCCCAACATTACGTGAAGAAGCAAAAAGAGTAACACTGAAGTAAAACATTATTGTAACCTAAACATTACCCTCTTTAAAACCCTATATGCATCTTCTATAACTACTGTGTGATCTAGTGTGAAGAGTCCTGTCAGGTTCGCAGGCGTAAGGGGTCCAGTGGGGATTTAATTTACCTTTAACTACTGTCAGGCCAAAAAAGTGAAGCTCTTTGATTCCAAGAAGCTCTGCCACATGATTCAGAACATCCTGGCCTGTGGACTTCAGCTAGAGTAGAGCAAAGAAAAAGAAAGTCTGCAGGTTTCACAAAATACAAATCTTTATCTAACCGGGGCCATCTGTAAAGTCCTCTTACTGAGCAGATCCTCTTAAGAGCACATCCAAAAAAAAAGAAAAAAGATATTAAACACTCACCCCGACAGTGATGTCCAGCTGTTCTTTGTTGGGGAGCAGAACACAAATAGTTCTCTCCTGCTTTAGTGATGTGGACATGATCTCTTGTGCAAGTTCGTGATATATGCTCTGTCTTTAACACTCAAGTCTTTGGGTATCTTTACTCTTCACTTTTATCTCTTCCAGGACAGTTCATCCATATTGCATCTAAAAAAAGATAGATAACAAAAGAGTAAGAAAAGTAAAGAAATGAAAAAAGAAAAACATGAGTAAACATGTAGTAAAGTGATCGGCATGAGTGTCTCATGACGTTTGAGAGAGAGATGGAGACGTTAGTGAGAGAGAGAGAGAGAGAGAGAGAGAGCATGAGTTACATTGTCTTAAAAATCATCTTCATGGAAATGTTCCACAAACGTGACAATCGTGTATGACTGAACTTGCTGATCCACTCATTTTTCGATGATCTCATAGTAACAGCTCATTCTAATTACCAGTCATTAACTGAAAGCAACCAGATAATCCTCTTGCATTTGTTCCATTCCAACAAAACGTGCTAAAAATGAATTAGAATATTGCTCATTGTGCCTTATCAAACGCTACAAATAGTCACAGTGTAGGGCACTGGACTATCAACCTGAAACATGCCCCTCTACACTGACCCTAAGCCCCAACTGGTACGAGGCTCATCTGATTAACGTCTAAGAATCAATTAATCAGGTTAATTACTGCCGTACGCCCACTCAGATTCCCTTAAATCCTCTGAACGATAACCAGTTTAACAGGAAAAAAAAAAAAAAAAAAAAAGTAGATATATGCATCACTGAAGGAGGAGGAGGAGGAGGGGAGGGGGGGGGATCTTGTGCAAATTATCTTCAGAAAAAATGGTTTCTTATGTCATACTTCTGTCTTTTACACCCTCCTTTTTTGAGGTGTGGAAGATTGTACATTCAAAAGCACTTGATGCAATAGTGTTTATCTGTGTTAAATGATGAGAGAGAGACAAACAAAACAATTTATGAAAAAAAAAAAGAAAAAGGTGTTGTCAGTGTACAAAACAAGTTGTGGGAACTCTTGGCTTAAAACATTTGTTGTACCACATATGATTTATGGGCATGTTCAAACACAGCCCCACTGACACCTGGGTGTCAGCGCAACAGACAAAATAAACCTGAAATACCAGTAGCTCCGACATCTGACTTACTATTGACAAAGTCAAATGAAATTCTACGTTTACACTGAAAATGTAGCGTGGAAAACAAGTACAAAAACCTCATAGACGCATGTACATTATCATGCATGCAAACATGTGTTACTTTAAAAAAAAATATTATGCCTTCTGGGAGTCTTGGCTTGGAGCTAATTCACAGTAAACACACCAAATCTGATCAGCCAAATGAGCTATACCACTGCAAGCAGTACAATGCTGCTGCCATTTATGTAACAGACTATAAGTGAAACAGATGCAAGATAATTAAGCAGCCTTAAGCAATAGGAAAACACAGTTCAACATTACAGCTTGCTTTTTTGTTTAAGACAATGGAAGCAGAGGCTGCAGATCATTGCTTCACGTATGAATTTATAAGAGACATGTGACGCAATCGCTCTAACAGAAATTACGCTAATCTGAATGTTTTTGCTGTTTATTTGAGCACTGGCTCCGTTTTATAGTGCATTTTCAACAGCACATACACATAAATCATTTGGAGTCTTCATATTTCATAAACATATGGTTGAAATAAGAAACAGGTGAGCAACTACCAAAATCAAGTTAAACCATACAAATGTGACCCATTTTATCTACATAACCTACACTGCATCCTGTCAACAAAACACATTTACCATCAACCCCAAACGGTGCCACTTGAAGTCTTCAGACATCCCCCATGTTGCTGACCAATGCGGAACCTGGCATCCCATGTGAGCAACCATCTGTATGCTTTAATTCCCCTCCAAGATTGTTATAATCCCTGCGTATACTGCTGGCTGGTGGAAAAACAACATCCCCTGTGCAGTAAGCAAGCTTTCTGAAGGAGCAGGGATACTCACTGCCCGCTAAAACCACAACGCAGGGGGGGTGAGGACCCCCTTTACACGCATCCCACTTTATGAGTAGCAGTTTGGTGGGACTAGTATATATTTCTTATGACTGAAAAAGTTCTCTTTTTTCCCATAAAAAGCATAACAAAGTTCACCAACTGCTCGCTGATAATGGCATTAAAAGTTGCATCAGAAGGGTCCTCAACGCTCTCCAGGCAACTTAAAGTAGCTAGCAGTCGTTTAAATATAAACCTTGAGATGATTACACATATTTATGAGTTAGCTACAAATCAGTACAAGGCAAAAGTAGCTGACAACAAACAATTTATACCATTTACGTCTATATTTCCCTCAGAGAAAACGTGCTTTCGGCCCGATAGTTTTAACGCGCAACAAGTGCATCACTAATAAGTCTGGCTTTTCTTTTAGCTACTTAGGTAAAAGCGCTAAATTACTTACAATCACAGTATAAGAGATGATAGAGTTCAACTTTCAGTCGCACGGCTTCTCAAAACACATTTCTTCTGTAACCCATTTAAAAACATGACCGACGCAAGAAGCCCAAACTGCCGTTCACCTCCCTACCCATTGCGTGTTGTAGCTTCTTGAGGGCTTTGCAAAACCATCCCAAGCCTGGAACGTTTGAGCCAAACCATTTTGGATAGTTGTGGGGGTGCACAGTTGTAATCGAAATGTTTGTAAAACTTTAACTTCATATTTGATGAATATGCGAAATCTTGTCACGTTTATATTTTCTAGATAAACAAGTTTCTATACCCATATGAATCTATAACATTCCTACAGCGGGTTGCAGTTGGATACTGTTGACTAGACGGGGCAGACTCCCCTCATTTTGTTAGTGTAGTAAGACGTGCTAATTAGAGGTCCCAAGCACCGTCTTTGAAAACAGGAGCTGCACGACCTCTATATAAAACTTTGTGCAAGCCTAGGTGTTAAAACGGTTCAAATACCTTTCGTTTCTGACGTGTACTTCCACTGCTTCCTGCGAAATTAATATGTTGAGCATTAGGTGCGCCCAGAAATCACGTGACGTGAATGTGCACCATCCCGGTTAGTGAGCCGCGTTGAGTGTACCCAGGGTTTTTAAATGGGGCCCTATTTAATCAGACTGAATAGCTGATTTTACGGTTCAGGAAACTGCGGACTGAAATTAAATTCTGTTTAAATGATTAGAATCTACTTAACACCACTTATAACGGGTATGATACATTTTGTCTGAGACTTTCATTTTTGTAGAATAAAACTACTCTAGGAATAACAACTTGATAATAACAAAAATAACAATTGAACTCCATTAGCAAAAATTCACAACACGCCTAAACCTTCTGGGATAGTGCAAAAACCCTGCTCTCACGTCTTAAGAACAGGAGGCATTAATATTGTCACTTGTAAGTTTCAGATCAAGGCACACAACCTGTGGATCAAAACACTACACAAGAACCTCTATAGACACGTCAAACTGCGACGACACCGCCATCTGCAGGCTAATTGCTGGCACTGCATTGAATACGATCAATGAACACAATCGAAAAAGAACAAGTTGCACATAAAGGTTAAAATTAAAATAATATGCTACACAACCCTACTCTTAATCAAATTTAGCAGATAAGGATGTATTACTTACTGATTGACATTTCAGAGATTTTGCCTACATGCACCAAATGCTTAGGAGTGACAACGCTCCCAATTCCTGAAATGAACTCGAGAAAAAAAGACAAGTCGTATACATACTTCATAGTATGCATATTTAATGTTACATTATGATGATATATAAACAACTGTCCAAGAAACATTTCTCAGTTTCAACCAACATTTCCAGTTTAAACATAAATAATCACCAAATGATTAACCAAGTGCTTTCGATAAAAGGTTCATATTACCAACACGTGCGTTTCCTGAATCATGATCATTGCTTAAAACCCCGTAATCAAATGTCATGTTGTCGGCAAAGCTTTACGCTCCCAACGCCAGGCTGGGCAAATGTGCAGAATGCTGTAACTGTTAGAGACAGCATAAAGATTTCAACCAAAGCCAAGGCTGAGAAACAATCCTATTTCAAATGCAATCTTTGCCATTAAAAATGATGGAAAATTGTTGATAAAAAAAGTAACTTGTACAAATGACCATTTTCAGTACAAAAGCTTGTAAAATGTAGTTGTGGTGCAAATCAATGCAGTGTCTCTTAAATTTGGTGGAAAAAAAATCATTTGCAATGGTGAGGACAGTACGTGCAGAATTGACTTGGGTCAGCTCACCAAAACAGCCATTTCTTTTTTGTAGCAGCTACATTTCCAGTTCAGCATCTAAAATTAACTGAATAACTTGGAGTAAAACAATGTTTTAAGTAAAAACAAAGCACATAAATAACACTGAAAATATAGCATATGAGGAGGGGAAATAATTTAACCACCCCTCCAAAGAAAAAAAAAAGAAAAAAAGGAAGTAGTAGAAAAATAAAAATAACAAGATCCATAACCACTGATTCCAACATCATCAGACAGAAACCACAATTTTCCTTATATGAATGATAATTAAAAAAAGTTATATGCATTTAAAAACAAAGAGATAATCCAGATACTATAATCAGAATAAAATTTAGCTGCGTTGAGGTATACGCTCCACATTCCTCTTGTCCAGCCAAATGTCTGAATCTGTCGCAGTTCTACTGAAAGAACTTGAGGCCTGCAACAAGGAAGAACTTCTCCAGGAAGATCTCAGAGTCGAGGACGGCGATGTGAGCAGCCCGGCCGATAAGGGAGTTGGCTGTGTTGGGCAGGGCGTGAATGACATCATATCGCACTAGATTGCAGTCTTTGTTCTGAAGCACTGGCAGCAGCAAGTTTTCAATCATCTCAGCGTACACAGGACCTGGTGTAAGCAAGACCAAAGAGGTTGGTTATAGTCATTTACTTTTAAAAAGACAGGAGAATCATAGTGTAGAATCATACACTGCTCAAAAAAACCCAGGAAATAAACAACAACAACAAAAAAAACAAACAAACCCGGAACTTTTCAGATCACAATGGGGAAAAAAATCTTTCTGATATCTATACTGATATGGACCAGGTATTGTGAAAGGATGTCACATTATTCGATGTAAATGAAATCTGGGTTGAGTTCATGGACCCCCTGGAACTTAAACTAAAACAAACAAAACAAAACAATGCAGCAGACTAGTCTATTTGCCAGAATTTAATTAGAGCAACTCAAAAATGGTACTCAAGTAGTTTGTATTTCCCAATTATGTTGTTATTCATGTCTGGCAATGTCGAGTCGTGCTCCTATTAAGATGACAGATGATGTCCTGGGGGATCCTCTTCTAAAACTGGACCGGTGCATCCCTGAGCTCTTGGACAGTCTAAGGTGCAACCACGCAGCATCGGACATTCATCCCAGTGGCCTGCTTTAGGTATTTTGTAGGGCTCTGCCAGTGTTCATCCAGTTCCTCTTTGCACAAAGAAACCGATACAAATCCTGCTGATGGATTAAGGACCTTATAAGACCTTGTCCAGCTCTCCAAGAGTAGCCATTTCCTGGAATCTCCTCTATGCTCTCGAGACTGTGTTGGAAGAGACAGCAAACCTTCCGGCAATGGCACATATTGATGTACCTTATAAGAGGATTTGGACTAACATCTGTATCCTCATGCTACCAGTAGTGACACTGACCCTAACCAAACGCAAAAAAAAAATGGTAGGAAAAAAAAAGTCAGAAAAGAAGAGGGAAAAAAATGTCTCTCCTTATCTTTAAAATTTAAAAACACTCCCTTTTAGGGGTTGTCTCATTGTTAGCCCTCTGGGGCACCTGTTAATTTGTTGTCAACACCAAAGCAGCTGAAACTGATTAACAACCCCCCCCCCGCTAGTTAGCTGACCAGATCAATATCAATGCCACAGAAGTTTAAGTGACTTGATGCTCTGATTAGTGTTCCTTTAATTTTTGAGCAGTGTATAGATTAGCATTAGTTTGCCAACATCAATTAGAAATCATAATTTATTCTTTATTTCTTTATGTACAAAAAAGACATAAAAGGAAAAAGGATGTAAAAAATTCTGAAAATGAGGAAGAAAGGAGAAATCATTTGAGAGAAAAAAAAGAAAAAAGGCCAAAAATAGTTTAGTCACTGTCTAAACACACAACCGGAACTGAAGGTCACACATTCGAGGGAAACTACACTACATGGTTGAACAATAAGTGTGCAGTGTAATTGTCTGAGCCTTTAAGTCTCAGCTTTTCAGGCTTTCTTACTTTTCTTCTGCATTTACCAGACATCTTGAACTTGCAAGTCACATAGCAAGGATCTAGTTTCAACCCACCTGTTTGTTTGTCCTTTAATGCAGTTTTGCACATTTCTATTCGAGCAGAATGATAGGGAACATAGCGATCCTGCAGTGACCCCACTAGCACCACATTCTTGAAAAACTGCAAACCTAGAAAGATGTATGAGTATAAGGTTATATATATTTATATATTTTTATATATATATATATATATATATATATATATATATATATATATATATATATATATATATATATATATATATAAATCTGATCTTCCAAATATACAAGCGAAAACACATCTTGTTTAAATTTAAAAAAATTAAATTAATTAAATTAAAAATTAATTTAAAGAAAAAAAAAAAAAAAAAAAAAAAAAAAAAAGCTTACCAGATTTCTTGCTGAGCTTATAGAGGAAAGTTTGGCGAGGATCAGAGTGATCACGACATGTCAGCTGCAAAAGTGACCCAGACTTTTTCCACTTCTGCATGAACCAAAGGCCTAAAAACGAAGTTATATTAGTTATTTAACAGGATCCATCACTATGACAAAAGAGACAAAACACACACACAAAAATAAATAAACAGAAAACATCAGCTACCAATAAGCTGACTAAAATATGGAATCTCTGAAAATACAGTCAACTCTTCTGACGTTCACCTGTATTCACCAGAGCAGAGCTGTTGTATAGTGTCCCCAGGTGAGGCCCGGAAAGGGAAAGAAAAGTGTGTAGCTTGTTCAGGTAACATTTAAACCTGGGTCTGGTCAGCACTGAGCGGACTATGAGGTTTCCCAGCGAATGACCGACAAAGCTGCAAAGGATACATCGATAAAAAATAAAAAAATAAAAATGTAAAGACAGCAAACAACATTAAAATGGAACACTTTCACTGACATACTTTAACAGCATTAGACATGCTTTTGGAAATCAGTTAACTGAATCACCAACTTAAATCTAAGTTCAATAAAATACAAGCAATTTCTTAATAATTATGTTATGATATTAGATTTGGATTAACAGAATGCATTACCTTATCTTTGACACTGTAAGGTTGTATATCTGAATGTACTGGACTATTTCATCCAGCAGTCGGTCCGTCATTGACTCAAAGTCAGCAAAGGTGTCATTCTGCAGATAAAAATAGTATTAAATAAACAACGCAAAAAACCCCAAAAAAACATTTTCCAGGTTTATTTTCATATCTATACCTGATTCCTCTCCGACATTAGAAAGTCTATACGAGCACCAGGCAGTCCAAGCTCCAGGTAGGTCTTCACAAGTCTGAGGTCTGCACT